TATGGTAAAATGGATTAACAGGGTCTCTCAGTCAAAAAATCAAAAATCAAACTCTGCTTTACTTTGCCAATCTTTTGCTTCTAATGGGAAGCTTCTTCAGGGCAGTAAAAATGAGTGAAAAACAATAAATTGAAGATATAAATTGACGTAAAAGTTAATATGTATACGATTTTTTTTGTGGGTTTGACAAAAATACACGTACAATAATCAAATTCATGACTCCAACACAAGAACCACCAATAATTTTCACATTTCCAGGACAAGAACAAAGCAATCTATGAAATCGTTGTTTTTCAAAGGATTGAATGATTTCAACCAATTACCATACCACATTATAGATTCTGTTACTTTATATTCATTCAAGGCTCAGTAGAAAATATATATTACATCACGTAATCTATGAATTTTTGGAATTTTTTTTAATTTTTATGTTTCACATCATCGAATTGTTTTATTGGTTCGAGCTTTTATGTTTTCTGTATACATTGTGTTACATCGTGTTACATTGTGATATGTTAAATATTTCATCAACTACCCACTCGAATAATTGTTTTTATGCCCTAGTATAATTGTAATATGGAACTAACTATTCTGAATACTCCTGATTTGTTCTGTTTTATAGGACAATATTCTCAGGAACACATTTCTATTTCTAGCTTTTTAGCTTCTTGTATTTATATATCATTTGAACTTTATACTACTTTAGAATTTTTTATATACCATTTTTACCTTTTTGGAGTTGTATTTATATTAAGATTTCCTATTTTCAAATAAATAAATGAAAAAAATTATCGAATCCTCAGAGATCACTTATTGAAATCGTACACAAATATGTAGACGTTAGTTCAAAATATCACTTAAATAACAGTTTTTCCATACACTAGTTGTTGAATATTACTTGGTATGAAATTTCTCCAGTTCAGCTTTCTTTCTCATGAGAGGTAGTCATGTTAAACCAGAACGTGATGCCATATTCTCATCTACATTTCTATTCCATATCAGCTGATTTTTTGAGATTCGTTCTTTCTGTTTTCAGAACCCAATGAACATCCTATTATTACACTGCCCAATGTAGGTGAATATATGGTTCAACGAATCATTAATAATCTTTCTAAAAAGTTAATCATTATAAATTCAATTTGATAACGTTCAACAAAAATAGTATTTACACCTCTTGGGTAACGTATGAGGGTTAGGCTAGGTTAGGTCCAAAGTGAGTGGGTCTAGTCATTTCACCACAACCCGCAAGGGTTTATTGTGGCTCACACTTATTCACACTCGAGCCAAATAAACCCAGCTTCTTAACGAAACTGATTAGTTTGTATGGTGAGTGGTCTTTCAGGTCAGATGGTATAGAGTATTGAATGTTTCGTCTACTACTGTGGCAGACATAATCAGTATGTGCGTGTCAGTCGTTACTGATATATGTGATATATGAAATATGTGTTGCGTGTTGTTTGTTATTTGAAAAAATATGATCCTTGAAGTAATAAAACAATAAGGCACTCGGAGTTTTTTCACATATTCTTGTCTCCTTATTAGGCATTTTGGGGTTTCTTCACATCGTCTGATTCAATTTCAATACAGACATCTTTTTCTTTTTGAACTGACTCTGTGACATTTATAGTTATTGACATCTCAATGATTATCTCATAGAAGTATTTCACCTGTACAAACAAAAAGTGATGATGATGAATACTCTCAGAAATCTGTCATCAAAGACTGAAAACGAAATAATAATAATACCAAAAGGTATCTTTTTAATTGCATGCATAAAAATTATCAGGGGCAGGTAGAGAGAATATCTATATCTGACTATGATGGGTTCACTCATGTAAATTAACCCACTGGAGTTCTCTTCAACTTTCTAGCCTAGGTAAGGTTTTGATAAGAAATTTGTCTACCATTTTCATCAAATTCATTGGCTAAGTTGGGTAATAACTGTAGATCAGATGGTGAAAGAATCAACATCTTTTTGTTTCAAATACAATTTTTTTAATATTTAGAAGTGTACATGCATTTTGTGACTACGTTGCATATTAAAACTGTTTTTTCTATATTCAATAGAGTAGATGGAGATAGACCTAACAATCTCTGCGTGACGAGTCAAAATTTTGGAAATACATTATAATATTACATTCTCTAATTGACATATCGAAAGAATACCAGTGAAAACTCTATGGTGTGAAATAAAAACAAACTGATTTGTTGAAAAACGATTACATTGTCATGAAATAATCGATCTGTATGACCATAAAACCGAGTTGTAACCCTGATGAAACTGAAAGCTAATTGCCTATGAAGCCCGACAATGAAAGAAACGAGCATAAATTCATATACTGTGATGAATCGTGCTGATCCCAGCAGGCGCCAACAAATATCGAATAATTAGGCAGAGGGAAATGATTTATTGGCACAATTAGGATATTCCACGCAGCGAGAAATGCATTTCGTTGGGGGAATTTCATTTCGTGCTTCAGCATATAGAAATATGTTACATGTGAGAAGAGAGGATTTCTTTTTCTTGGCAGTCGCTCCAATTGTCGATTCAGCTAGTGGAAAATGGGTCGTGCCTAGGTTTTCAAGTGGAGCTACTACACAATTACATTATCGAAACTTACTGACATCATCTACGCCAACAAATACATATGCTTTATAATCTTTATAAAAATTTATATTTCATCAATATCTTTTCTATTATCACAAAAATCATTATCAAATTAGAAAAAAAAATTAATTCTTCTTTATCACAAAAAAAAGTTTTGCAATGTTTTTTGGGTATAAAATCTTGTACAATATAAAAAATAAACAAAGCTAAATCAATAGAGAATCTGTTGAAGTGTAAGAAGGGCAAAAATTACTGCGTAATATAAACCACTAAAGAGTGCAATTGTATTTATAAATCTACAAATTGAAGAAATCAAATTGAAAACATTGAATATTTATAAAATTTCACTCACATGGAATTATCACCCTCAATGATTTTTTTTGTGAGTTTCCTATTTTTTTTTATTGATAGGGAACTAGAAAACCTGAATGATATTTATTATTATGTGAACATGTGTGAGTTATATTTTTTATCCAGATGTATAGATTCGTCGAAAATTTAAGGAAAAACAAGAACTTTCTCACTCTCAAGTTTATCATAATTTATATTTTATTGAGTTTTTCATTTGATACAGTAACCTGAAGTAACTCTATTACTTTTCCCAAATCTGAAAGTTTGATTACCACTTACAATTATGTTCCAGAACACTCATCTACCTTTATTTATATATCATACCTGTGCTCTCGCCTGTTCTCCCACTAGAATAACATCCCTTGTTGCGTCGTGAAGTGGAATATCGGAGATGAAGAGGCCACTTCCGGTCAGTCCTTCCAAACCGTCAATGAAAGGCGAACCAATAAACAGAATGGAATGAGATTCAGGACAATATACCATCTGGCCTTTCAGTTGCAGACCCTGCAAGAAATTGATACGTTTCAGAGGAATCCTTGGCTTAGGTGAAATGAGTGAATGATAATGGAAAGCTCAGGAATACCGACTGCTGTTATCATTAATAATTATAATATCCAGTTGTCTTTCAATATCGGTTCTGAAATTGGCTACTTTTTATTATCCTAAAAAAAGAGTTTTCAAATTGTATTAGTGATGAATTGTGAATTGAATCTTCCTATGAGATTACTTCAGGGCAATGGTGAAAGTCAGAACAATACACCAACTGATCTTTCAGCTGCAGAACATGCAAGAAATTGAAACGTTTAAGTGGAATTTTTGGCTTTACTGAAAGTCTAAGAAAATCAAGTTTTCGTCAGTAGCAGTTCTGATATTTTTATTATGCTATATTCAAAAGGGTTCTTGAAATTTATCAGTTATGGATCGCAAAATAAATTTTCCTAGAAATGTTACTACGGAAAAGTAATTAATTTGTCGTGAATTTCTCCTGGTGAAGTTCAGGGCAATATACCAATTGCCCTTTCAGCTGCAAACCTTGCAAGGAATTGATACATTTCAACGAAATCCTTGGCTTCCATGAAATTAACGAATGATTAAAAGGGAAACACAGATTCAATGAACTCAATCTCAACAACCAGTTTGTTTTTCAATTATTTTCGAAATTTGAGGTGAAATCCTCAAAAATCGAACAGCCTTTTTCAGTCGAATCGAATATGAATTGCCAAATGAATTTCCCCAGAAAAGCTAGACATTTTTTTCATAGAAATTATTCCAGTGTATCTATGAAAATGGCGGGAGTTGAAATAGGTTTTTTGAATGATAAGCTGTTATCTCTGTACAAAGAACAATGTCTAAAGTCACAACTAGAGACAAAGTGAATATTATCGAGGACTCACTTTTTTGACGTACGATTTCTAGCAGAAATATTGAGCGAACCAACGATATTATTATATATTTTTTGGAAAAGGTTAATTTTCAATTTAAGTTAACTACTTTTTTCAAAATGATAATTCAATCGACTGGCTGCCCTTCGTTTGAGCATTGAAATCATTCTCAAATGAAACACCAGATTTGTTTTTTAATTTTTCAGAGTGCTGAATACTCAACATACAGCAGGATATATTCTATGGAATTTCGACCTTATGCAGTTACCTGAAACTTTCCCACAAAAAAAATCACAGCAATTGATCGATTTCGATTCGGATTTGTTATGTTTCGCCCGTCTTCACGGATAATTCCAGATATGTCGATATAGAATTTAGAATTAATATAGATATCTTCAAGTTCAACAGGCTAAGATCAGGTGATCCAGCGTGCCAATCCAGGCTTCCCTTTTTTTACTAATCCGTGTACATTGACCTTTTGAGGTCTTTTCGCATTGTATTCTTGCATCCAGTGTTGATTTCGATTAAATCAATAGGAGGTAGAAGAAAATAAAAAAAAAACTGGATGGTGTGCCGTGGTCAAATTAGACATGAAGCACCGCACGTTTCGTGTCTACTACGGCATCATCAGTGGTATGTGCGTTTGGTACTTTATATGCCGTATGAGCACGACCTACAAGCCCTGGTATTTTCTTTAATCAAGTGGTGTTTTGACAATCGACATGCTTGTTCGATAGAAATGTTGCCTCGTCTTGAAATATAATGTTAGTAAAGGAATTCTCATTTCTATTATATCAGTACATCAATATTTGCATTCAATAATTTCACGGGGGCAAATAAGTATTTCAACTTTTTGAAAATATTTGCCTTTGAAAAGTTTTCAATAATCAATTTCCCTGTGTAGTGTGGACTTTCAATTTCTCACAAAATTGAGCCTTGTTGAATATTTTCAGAAAGTGTAATTCTGTGATTCGATACATCGTGTTAGGAATCACACGTTAAAAGGTAAGACCTCGTTAGTCCATAGCTCGCACAAGTTTCTCAACTTCTTAGAGTTGTCGTTCGTATGGGGGTGACAGCTGATTAACGGAAAAACAGATTTTAAAAAGATTTCAAACAGAACAAACAGATCTCTCACACGCCCATATTCTCTATATTTTAGCGCTATTTTTCTCAAAGTGGATTGAGAAAAAGGTTCACGTATAATATCGCCAGCATCAAATATGATCCAAATTTTAAGTCTCTTCCTTTCAGATAACCAGTCTTTAGATAAAAAATGATAAATTTTGATTGATTTCTTGTGTGACATTATCCAACGTTAAATAAAAAAGTGTGTGTGTGTGTGCGTGTGTGTGTGTGTGTGTGTGTGTGTGTGTGTGTTTGTACTTATGAAAGCATGTAAGAAGTTATACTTTTTTTTAAAATTATTTCACGCTGTGTTTCATTTGTTTATTCGTTTAAGTTTATTCATGTATTCCAAATATTAATTTTTCATCTGGAATAATTCAATTTTTTCAGACTTCAATAATTATTATTTGTATCTATTAATAATTAATCAATTTATTTGTACACTCATTACATATTGATTAATAATTCGAAAATTTATTTCAGTTTCGAGCAAGACAGCGGCGCCGCCGGACGAAGCTTCTTCTCACTATGGACAAGAGGAGTGTGGCCAAATGCGCTCGACTGACAAGTAATGGACATATTAACTGAAGAAGAAGCTAACTTCAGAGTGTCGATTTTTCGTGACGGTGTGCGCGTGCATATATTCTCAAACAAAATATGGTAAAAGCAAGCAGCAAAGATCCCTAACAAAAGTGGGACGAAATATTATACGTCGTGATTTTCCTCAATTTTCAATGGTACCTATGACAATACTTGATTTGATTTCATTTGAGTATCAACGTTAATTTTTTTCTTTTCATTTGGTAGATAATTCGTGAGTTTTGTATTGTTGTCCACACTGAAAATTGAAAACTAAGGATCCTTTATTAGAAAAACAACAGTTATTACCAGGTATATTACATATTCATATGTGAACTGACCTCTTCTAGATAAGCGGAAAATAATGACATTTTTTCAAACCGTTATATCTTGCTCTGAGATGGATTTGAAAAAATATGAAAAAATTGAATATTCAATAACTTTTTTCTATCAGAAAACAGTGACCATCAATCACACAGTGTTCCTCACCAACTTCGACAAATTTTGATCAATTATACATGTTTTCAGTGAAGTGTTAATGAAACCTGATTCACGATTCATTTTAAAACCACAGCACCCCATTCTACATAAATCCATTATTGGTTTAACAACGGCGTTATTTTCATAAAATGAAACGAAAATACTGAAACTACCAATATCTGAATCTATTTCAATTTTTATTATACACCACTGAATGCAATTTTAGTGGGAAACATTGAATAACAGCTAATGATAAACAATGAATTGAAAATGTGAAATCGATAGCAGTTTTGTTATTTATGGCGATGAAAATTTGTTTTCCAACTGATTCGCCTGCAGTGATTACAATATTTTCCGTTATTTGGAAATCGCTACAATACAGCTCACATGATTATTTTGCATTCAATGCTGAATATAAATTGAATAATTTTCCATGTACTATGCATTTCATGAGAGATAAATATTGGAAATTTCAATTGAAATGCTAAAACAATTTTGGACATTAGAGACAATTTGCCTGGATGCATGTTTTTCCGCCAAGTAACATATATTTGATTTTGATAATTCAGTTTTATGCTTAGAAAACCTTTCAGTAATTTGGCACTACTAGAAATGACTGGTTTCGCATTCAGAGAAATGAGTAATGGGTAACTAAGAAACCAGTCAATAGTTCTGTAAACAATATCATTGGGCTCAGCTCACTTTTCCCAAAAAACCTGAATATTCAGGCAAATGAATCGATCAGAAATTGGCTTGGCGCAATTACTAACGGATCTTTCAATAGGGACTTTCGAACTTTGATAATTGAAACTACAACTGTCAAATTAGTTGTTATTTATTGTCAAATATGAAAAATAATCATGAAATAATTCAAATTCATTCGAGTAAATACATTAATTGAAAGATTTTCTAACCTCAACTTCAATATTCTGAAACAAAAACACACAGAATTCCATCTTTTAATATTCCAAGTTCATAGACATCGAAATTGATACGATCACACGATATAGAAATATAAAACAATCTACAAATACGCAAACTTTGCACAGATTGCATACTGAGCATTCTACCTTAGTACAGTGTACCAGTAGTACCGGATCAAAGTTGCAATATCAGCGTATAAATCTTCAAAAATATTGAGAAAGGTCAAGATCATCAACAGACAGTATTGAGAAATTCATTCAGTATCTAATTGATCTTCAGAAAAGGTTTCAGCAATGCAGCACATCTCCTTTTCTTCGATCCTGCTGGGTGGCAGTATGATGTAAGTTTTTGGTCATTTATTGTATTTTTTGATCAACATTTTAGTGTTAGTTCATTTCTTAAGTATTTTTTCCGTTTCAATACAATAAATATTCAATTAAGGTTTCAAATGACTTCTTTCATTATTTGGATGAATGATGAATGGGTGAAACAGCGAATAAAATCCTCTCGTTAATGAGCCAAGCGAATACTGAGTTGCGACATTATTCAGTTTGTTTTGCCAAATCAACACGGACGCATATAGCATTCAACAAAAGGTGCGATTACCGAAAACGATATAGCCGATAAACTTGCCAGGATGGTCTAGAAAGTCCAGCCCGTACTCTCAGTATGAAAGCATTGCCAACAGATCTCAAATCCTTTCTCCATTGAGAAATTATAGAAATGTGAAATTACCACTGGTCTCAAAAACTCTCCAAACTTGAGGAAGTTAAATCTACATCATATCCTTGGAACAACAAAGCAACAAACCGGTTCCATCAAGTCATAATCACCAGATTACGACTGGGCCACACTCGCCTTACGCATGAACATCTACTGAGGAAAGAACCGCCACCAGAATGTTTCGCGTGTGAAGTGCCTGTGACTGTTAAGCGTGTTCTGGTAGAGTGCCCGCTGCTCACAGTTGAGAGACTGAACAATAAAATCCCCGCCGGCAGGCTAAGTGAAAAT